TGGTGCTTCTACAATGTCAGAGGTGAGCATTCAACCCAGATCAGCTACACTTCCAGGTAATTAAATCTCAAATATCCCTGTTCCCTGCCCAGTTTGAAAATGTCCTGCCTATCCCCAGGCCCTGTTCTGAGCCCTCACTCACCGTCAGTAAGTCTCTCCCATCTCGATCTAAGTTTGGAACAATGTCCTTCATCTCCTTCCTTGGCCACCGGGGAAAGCTGCCCTTGTAGTCAGGGAGCTGGGTCACACCAGGCCACGTCACCTCGGTGGGAGTGCCCAGAGTGCGAAAGATCTGGAAGAGCTGATCGATCTCAGAGTCCCCTGGAAACAGGGCCTTCCTGGTCATCTGGGGGAAGAAAAGAAAAAGCCAGTTCCCACCTTTCCATCAGTTGTGTGCCCTATTTCCTGCTGCAAGCAGCCTTCTGTCCCAGCAGGTGCAAACAACTGCACAGACCAGGGCAGTTACAATGCAGTGATTCTGCCAGGCAGGGGCTGGGAACATCACAGGTGTCTGACTGCTTGCTCCCACTCTTGGCTGCCTCTGTCCTGCCTGCTCTGCAGCTCAGGGACTTTGGGAATGAGGAAAAGTGGTGTTATACTGCAGAGCTAACCACAGCTCTTCCAAGGGGAGTATGGACCCCTAGGAGATCCATTCTGCCACATCACGAGAGTGCTTGTTCTCTGAAGCCCACCATGTGGACATCTGGAAGAGTCATCTCCTCCCAGGGTCAAAATGCTGCAGCAATAAGGCTGAAGTTGCAACTGCCTCCTCTGGCTCAAGAAAGAGATTATTTAAACCCATCCTACCATTTCTGCAAAGATGCAGCCGATGCTCCAGATATCCACAGGGGTAGAGTAGTATCTGCATCCCAGCAGTATCTCAGGGGCTCGGTACCACAGAGTCACCACCTGGAAAGGAACCAACAAACAAACTGTGTCTGGTTTCCCTGGATGAAACCATGGTGTGGGACCCTCCCTTCTCAGCTGTAATGGAGTGACTGTACAAATCAGAGCATGCTAAGGCCCTGCTGAATTTACAGACACTTTAGTGCCTGCCAGGTTGGGATTAACAGAACATTCTTCAAAAACACGCTCTGGAACAATTAAGTGTACCCTGTGGAGAGAAGGTGGGAGCCCAGCTGGCAGCCTGACTCCAGTAGACAGCACACCTTGTGGGGACATGGAGGTCCCTTAGCTGCAGGTGAGGTTAAGAGCACACTCCTGGCATGGCTATGCCTGTGTTATGGATGAGCAACTTGTGCTGCTGCTGTTCACCCACTCTCTGGATTTTGTACCCCACTCAGGGAGCCTCAACACTACCTCATGAGTGTATGTGCGGAGGGGGACCCCGAAAGCTCTTGCCAGTCCAAAATCAGCCAGCTTGATTGCTCCTGCTTCATTAATGAGCAAGTTCTGTGGCTTCAAGTCCCTGTGGATGACCCTGTGCGAGTGGCAGAAGCTCACACCCTGCAGCAGCTGGAAAAGGTAGTTCTGAAGAGAGAAGAGATTTCAGATGAGGCCATGATGAAAACACCTTGAACTCTGGGTTGTGTGAACCAACGCACTTTGGATCTCTTATAGATCTGAATGGGAAGAAAGCCCTTGTTACAGTGCAGCATCAGGCTTATGGGCCAGTTCTCAGAGATACACACAAACTGCTGCCATGCCATGTGGGCACAGAGATACTCTGGTCCAGGCACTGTCCTTCTCTTCCACCCACCCATTACTGACTACAAAGGCAATTAGCAAAAGATCTTCCTTTGTTCTGCAGCAAGATAGGCTGGAGAGCCTGGAAACTGCTGGGAAATAAACATTTCTGAGCAATAGTGCCATGAGAGTTTTCCAGCTGAAATGTTTGAGATCTGGGAGGCTGAGGAATCATTTCCAGGCCCAGTCTGAGCAGCTCCGAGATGCCTCTGCCCAGCAGAAGGCAGCAGGGACATGCTGTCTGTCCTGCCTGTTGGCAATCCTTCCATGCTGTACCTTGACCAAGCTTAAAGGAAGCTCTCCAGCTTGGCATGAGTCCATGTACTTCTTCAGGTCCTGATTCAGATACTCAAACACCATATAGAGCTTCTTCTGGCTATGTATGACATCCAGGAGCCTGTAAAGGAAGTACAGGCTCTCCCCTCAATATGTGCTCCAAACCTCTGTAAATACCCAAACATCCCTCCTCCCACAGATGCCTCTGCTCTGTTGGTCCTTTGGAGAAGAGAGGGGCAGTTTAAGGGCAGAATCTAGTATGGGGCAGCAGCAGTATGCTGGTGAAGTGGCAGACCCGTGAAGTATTGCTGAAAGCCAGGGAAGTGTAAGGGATTCCTGCATTTTGCTGTGTATTTTGGCCCTGCCTATGCAGTTGAGGAAGGACAGAAAAACCCCCTTGCTGCCTGCTCCCAGAGCAGGAGCTCATGGATGAGCGGGTGAAGAGGGTGTATCCAGGTCTTACCTGACTATGTTCGGGTGCTTCAGCTCTTTCAGCAGTGAGATTTCTCGGATCGCAGTGCTGGGGACACCCTCTGACTCCCTGTGGCAGAGACAGGCTGTACTGCACCCCATAACCCAGGGGGATCCCACAGCCCAGTGGGGCTCTGTGTCCCTTCCTTCTTCCAATGTACCCCAAGGGAGCATTTGGGTTTGAGCAGTGGCTGGGGTGGGCTGGGGTGAGGCAGGGGGAAATGGAGTTGTGGGCAGGGAGAGGAAGGGGATGACCTAAACATGCAAGCCTTGGGGCAAAGCTTGTTTGGAAGCACCTAAGGGTGCTTCTAGAGAAGCAATAATGTATTAATTACCCAGTTCTTTCTTTTTGTAGGTGGGGGAAAATGAAAGCTCTTTGCCCCTCAGGTAGCCACCTCCCCCACGCTGAGGGGCCACCATGGGGTGCAGCCCCAGCATATTGGCTCCCAGTCCAGGCAGACATCCCTCACTGTGCACACAGCTCAGGGATGACCCAGGGGAACAGCAATAAGCTTTTACCTGCTCAGTACACCCTGGATGGCCGAGGCTGACTCTGCCTGACCTGCACAGCACAGCCCTGAGGGAGATATTACCTCACAACATGGCAGCCGTTTCCCCCTGCCCTGTGCCGTGGACCCAGGGGCAAGTGGTGCTGGGTCAGGCCCTAAACACTCACACAAAGATTTTGAGCTGCTGGCTTAGCAATGGGTTAAATCAGCTCTTTTTTAGATCATCTAAAAGTTGGGGTCTTCCCTGTGGACCCACACAGCTGCCATGCCCATGAGACACGGAGCCCCCAAGCCCTCCAGACAATACTCCCTTTGGCTCTGCCTTTCCTGGTGCCACAATACACAAGATTATTTTAATCCTAGAGACACCTTTTTCCCCCTCACGTGAGGCTTTTTTGTGCCTCTCGCACCGTACTGGGCACAGGCCTGGCGCCATGGCAGGCCCAGGGCTTTGCCTCACTCACGCGTCCAGGCGGATCTTCTTGAGGGCCACCAGCTGCCCCGTGCGCTTGTTGCGAGCCTTGTACACCACGCCATAGGTGCCCTCCCCAATCTTCTCCACCTTCTGGAAGGACGCCTGGATGGCCTCCATGAGGCTGCCCTCAGCCTGGCGGTGGCAGTGGGGGCGGCTGGCACCGCGCTCTGAGGGGAGGGAAAAAAGCGGGAAACAAAAAGGTGAATGTGGGGAAAGCGTTTGAGCCCCCCAGGTGTCCCCTGAGGTGCAAGCGGGGTCTGGGTCCCACCCTGGTGCTCCCTCAGCCTTGAGGAAGCCCTCAGGGACCTGCCTGGGGCAGCTGTGAGTGGACAGGGCGGCCTGGTGGGCTCTGGGGTGTCCGGGGAGCTTCAGGTGGACAGAGCCACGCAGGAGCCACCCAGGGCTGGCTGTTCTGCTGCCCAGGTCGTGCAGTGTGCTGGCTACAGCCAAAAACTGAGGAAAATTGATGTACAGATGTACTTTGGGGCCTCAGGAAGAGCAGCATGAACTGCACAGGGCCAGGGGAAGCTCTCCTGCTCCATCTGCACCGTGCTGGGAATTGGTGGAGTAATTGGGTTAATAATTATGGCTCCCTGGGACATGCTGAGGGCAAACACCCAGCAGAAATGTCTTTTTTATTGTTTGGTTGGTTTGGAGGGAGGGGGAGGTTTTGCTGTGGGGTTTTTTTTTTGGGGTTGGGGTTTTTTGCTTGTAGTTTTTTTGGGTTTTTGTTTGGTTTTTTTGTCAGGGTTTTTTGTGGGGCTTTTTTTTTTTTGTTTGTTTTTGGGATTTTTTGTGTTGTGCGGGGTTTCTTTTTATTTTTTGTCTTTTTTTTCCCCTTTTATTTTGTCTTGCACAATTGTCCCTTGAACCTCCCCAACATGGGCTGTGCTGCTCAGTCAGCTTTTCGGGAGATGTCCTTGAAGGGGAATTAATCATTGACTTGATAGCTGGCAGAAGACGAGATTATTTTAATCTTATGTATTGTGGCACCAGGAAAGGCAGAGGCAAAGGGAATTTCATCTGGAGGACTTGGGGGCTCCATGCCTCTGGGTGGGCATGGACATTGCAGCTGTGTGGGTCCACAGGGAAGACAACAGTTTTAGGTGCCCTAAAAAAGGGCTGACTTAACCCATTGCTGAGCCAGCAGCTCAAAATCTTTGAGTGCAAGTAGAAAAGGCTGGAGATGGCTGCATTGCCCTGCAAACCACAGGCATGGCTCACTCCAAATTTGGGGATTTCCACAGTACAGGAGAGTCTTCCCTCCCTTGCACAAACATTTGATTCTCATGTCACATTAGCAATGTTCTGTCCTTTTGTCAATGGTTTAATACAGCTGTGTGGGCCTGGCACTATGTTCTTCAACCAGAGTGGCTCTGATGTAATTTCACCTCCTTTTCTCGCAACCTTTTTAGAGCCAGCCACTTCCATACACACCCAGTACTTAGGAGGAGAAAAACTGAATTTTCTTACATCATCTATAGGGTTTGTACAGGGCCTAACACATCTGACTTGGCAAGAAAGAGGGATTTAATCAATAAAACGCAGGCTGCCTTATTTTTTCATCTTTATTTAGGAAAATTTCATACAAAATCTTTTGATACTTCAAAAATAGTGATTTCAGCTCTCTTAAACTTAGCTATGTCAAGGAAGAAAGTCAAGTACTCAGGGTACTGCAAATATTTATTTTAGAGTTAGAATTAATCCTCCCCTTAGATACCAGTTCTTCCCACCTGAAGAGGCAGGTGCTACTGAAAATAGTGACTCTTTGTTCTTCTTGTTTCTTTGGTCAGTCCAGATAGGTGAGTGTTTTGCCAGGAATGTTCCTTGTGGCAGCTGAGTCAGGGTTCCCCAATACAGGCACTCATGGGCCCACAGCCAGGCAGAGCTAATGAACTTTGTGCTAATACCCTTTTCCCCCATCTGCCAAAGGTGAGCTGCTTAACTCCACATTCAGAGACTTCTTCTGACTTCTTTCACAATGCACAATAGGAAGAACCAGTCTAACCCAAGTGTTCCCTTTCCTTAGCCACCCTTTCAAGCAAACAACAAACCTGCTTCCCAGAGCTATTTTCAGTCATGACACCTGGGGCAGGAATGGAGAGCCCACAGTCACACACATTGAGTCAGTCTTCAAAGTGTTTCCCTGCTCAGTGACTTTGCTGTTTGCCACAGCAAATTTACTAAATTACCCTAATTTACTTTGAACATATTTGCTGCAAATGGTAGTGCAAGGACCAGCGTGTGGCTGGTCTCAGAGCTGCTGTCAGGATGTGCTGCTTTCCCTCTGCTCCTGCCTCTCATTGAAGTATTTCCTCTGCTCCTGTATGGCTTGTTCCAGCAGGGCCACATTCATCCCCTCCACACAGGTCAATATTCGTGCTTTTACCACAGGACTGGAAGTTTCTGGAGAAAGGAAAACAGACAGGGAAGCTTGGAGACAGAGAGTTCCCTCAGGCAACATATGACTCAAGCTGGGCAAATAATCATAGCCTGAGAACTTCAGGAAACCAGGCTGGCTGAATGCTGCCACTGATGTGAGCAGCAGGAGCAGCTTAATTCTCTGATGTGCTTTCCCTCTGCCTTGATGGCTACAAAATGCTGGTGACTGACACTGCACTCTCCCTGCACTGGGGAACAGTGCCAGTGCCTGCCATCTGTCTACTTTGTGGCTGGATGCATTTTGGTTTTCCCTGGCTGAAAAGCAGCAGTGATGGGTCCGAGCTCATTTCTGAACGTCCCTGTGCAGACAAGAGGGCTTGGAAGAGGCTCAAAGCTGGCTGCAACCAACAGTTCATTGGTGGCATTTAAGTGGCAACATGGAGCTGCACAGAAGGGGCCAAACCTTGGTGACATAGCCTTGGTGACACAGCCACCATCTCAGCCTGCTCCCCTTCCACCCCTGCAAAATGGGGCCAACTTCCTCCTAGGCTGGGATGACCAAAAAAACAATTTTCTAAAGGAATTTTGCAGCAGTGGCTTAGCAGGCCACTCTCCAGCGGCCACGTGAAGTGTGGCTTTCCACATGCCACTGAGGATTTCTATGGCATGAATGCAAATGCTTTTTATCAGGTGTGGCCAAGATAACAAAGAGTTTGCTTCACCATCCCATGGCTCAGCTCAGATCAACTCCCCATACAAAGCACTAAGCAGCTGGAACACAGGGCACCCCAGAAAAGGACAACAGGGTGCCCTGCATGACAGTGTCTGCCAGCATTCCTCACATGTCTGAGGGCAAGGATAATATATTATTAGAGCCTTTCAAGGATGGCAAAGACCAACCTAGTCACTTGCAATGAGGTATTGCTGCAATCTGCCACGTTTAGGGTGAAGACAGTGTGGTGGCTGGCAGCCATGCCAGAAGGCTTTTTAGGTTTCACAAGCATAGCAATGTGGCTGAAATGCTTCCTGTTTCTAAAAAAATCTGTGCCAGAGGACCAGATTTTCACCAAGATAAGGGTGGCTCTTCTCATCGTCAGCGGGAACAGACAGGCTGCTCCTACCTTGAATCACATGCTCGTGTGATGGAGGAGCTGCATGAGAAGAGCCTTGGTCCAGGCTGTCCTCAGTGACTCAAGGAGCCCCAAAAGAGCTGATGTACCATGAAGAGCAGCAAAGGGTACCAGTTCCCGGAGCATTTACCTTCCCTGTGTTCAGCCTCTCCCAGGACCATGTAGGAAGATCCCACTTGGGCTTGGAATGGCTCCACAAACTTGGTGTCAACATAGACCTGGTACTGAGCCGAGTTGTGCTGCGTGGTGAGAATGGCTTCAGATCGGGCCAGGTCATAGCAGCATAACCTGGGAATGATCAATTTGGGAAGCTCAGCTGTGCAGAAATCCAATTACAAACCAAAAGGGGGTGCTCAGTCAGTGAAGGAAAGGCCCGGCCTGCAAGGAGAGCAGGGTACCCTTCTCACCTGCCAAATGTCCTCAGTGTCTTCCCCTCGGGGACCGAGCTGTTGATCTCCCACGGGAAGTAATAGACAGCAGCACTTGGCAGCATCTCACACAACAGCTGACCTGCAGTAAAGCAAAAGGTCTGACTCCATGCTTCTCCAGTACCTGATCCAAATTGTAAGTGATACTGCCCTTCAAGTCCTCCCTTGCCCAGGTTCCACCATCCAGGGGGCTGCAAGAGCTTCACAGCTTCCCTGCTGAGTCCTATTTGCAACTCACTGCATATGCCAAGCTCAGGGCATCCTGGCACAAAGAGGAGCTGCCTAGTCCCACACAACCCAGCATGAACTACAGGCAGCTCACCAGGTCCTCTGGGTCTCCCCCAGGCTATGCATGAGTTGAGAAAAGTTAAGGAAGTGGGGAGAATGGTGACTGGGAAGTTCAGAGAGTGTGAGGGACTGGGATAGCCTCAGCTGCTGGGGTGACAGAGTACTATGCAGCAAGACTTATGGAATGATCCCAAGCCTGTTCTCTTACTGCAACATAAAAAAAGTTCTGGCAGTGTCTGATCCTGCAGCTGGAGAACGATAAACTGGACCCAAACCAGCCTAGTTTCATCAGAAGTCTGGCAGGGTTTAGCAGACAGCGAGGAGTGAGAAGGATTAATTCCAAGGCAAGGCTCAGGTGGGAGCTCCTGCGGTGGAGCAGGGCTGGCACAGGCAAGTCAGCCACAGCACAGAGCACACAGAAAGGCAGGAATGCAAAGCAGCTTCAGCAGAGTTCTAACCCTGCCCAGTCAATGCCTGGCTCCTGCCTGTGCCCTGAAGTGGGTTTTTTTGGCATAATTTTCCTTCTGATCTCCCTTGCAGGCTGCCTGTGTTTGGAATGTTTTCATGCTTCGTTTACCGCTTTTCTCTTTTTTTTTTTGTTTGTTTTGCCTTTCTGTGGGGGACCCCAAGAGCTGCACAACAGCCAGGCAGGGAGGGAGTCCTGCCACTCACACAAGTGGGTCCACCGATGGGCATTCAAGGACCCCCAAGACGGATTACTCAGCAGAGGGGACAGTGAGCTGACACACGTGCTGTGGCTTTAATGCTTGGTGTCCCTTCCCCACCCCATGCATTGCTCACGGTATTGTCACCTTGCAAAATGCCCCATGGAGGACTGACTCTGTGGGAGGCTGGGGAAACCAGGGCGATCCTGGCTTACCCCATCCCTGCACATGCCTCCCTCTCGGCCTGCTGCCCCACAGTCCCAGGCCAGGCTGTGGGCACCCAGAGCGCGCTGAAAAACCCCTCTGGCAGGGTCGCAAGCCACCTCCCCGCCCTCTGCAGCTCCGTGCATCCCCGCCGCACCTAACATTCAAACAGCAGGGACAATTCTGCACGTCCAGAAGGGCAAAGGCTGTCCTGTACCGCTCGGGTTTTGCTCCTGAATCACGCTGTGCAGCAAGGTGGATCAGCCAGGGATGCAAGACGCCCAGTGTGCATTTAATGCACTTTTTAACGCATGGAGTCACTTGGGTTGTAAAAGCCATACCCCAGTCACCACACATCCTGTGCTACCTATTGCATGCGCCAGCTCCACCGCAGGACCTTGCAGAAAGATTTACGGCAGGCCCAGCCCCGAGCGCAGCCCTTTACACGCAGATCCACAGCACTATCCAACACCGTACTGAACGCGGGCACAAACGCAGCCCGCTAACGGCACCTCATGAGCTGTTTATTTAATTAGCAGCTCCGTGCCGATGCCATGTGTGCCGGGCACTCTCGCAGCGCTGCTCCGTGCCCACCACAGCGCGATTTAAGGCACCGCTCCCAGCACTCACCGCTCCGCCATCGCCTCCCGCGGGAAGGGCGGGCAGCGGAGGCACCCACGTGCTCAGGAACCACGTGGCGTCGCGGGAGTGACGTCACGCGGGGGCGGGGCCGGCGCAGCGGGGACGGGAAAGGATCGGGATCGGGATTGGGATTGAGATTGAGATTGGAACTGGGATCGGGCAGAGCCGCCGCCGCGATGTCGGTGAACGCGGACCTGCGGAGGGAGCGCGCCGCCGCCGCCTTCCAGCCCGAGCTGCTCACCCACATCCTAGACGGCGGCCCTGAGCGCACCCGCCGCCGCAAGGAGATCGGTGAGGGAGGGCCCGGGCCGTGGGGACGGGGAGAGACAGCCCCGGTCAGGGCTCGGAGGGGGAGAAGGATGTGCGGGGGTGGGAAGGGGAGAGGCTGCGTGGTGGGGGAGACCCAGGGAGAGCGGGATACTGGGCGAGGAGCCTCGGGGGAGGTGAGGAGCCACGAAGTTGTGAGGGGGTCGTGGGGCGGGGGAGGGTGTGGAGGCGCTTTCGTGGAGAGGGGAGACCCCAAGGAGGGGAGAAAGCTCTGAGGAGAGGGTTTGCAGGTGGAGGGTCAGCGTAAGGGATGGGTTTGGAGGGGAACAGGAGCTGCGTCCCCCTCTTCTCCCCAGAATGGGTGTAGGGTGGCCCTGATAGAGCAGTGTCCTTTTACTTCTCTGTTTCCCCTTCCTCCAGAGGGTCAGAAGCGGCTTCCCATGGGCATTTCTCATGGGCTCTGTCCCCTCCTTTTTCCTTCCTGGCATGCTCTTGCCCAACAGTACAAATGTCATCTGTTTGTCAACCGGCACGATGTGGTTATGAGAGATTAATGAGCTACTTCCAGGCTGTTCCCTGGGCTGGGGCTGTCAGAGGCTGCTGTTGTGTAACTTCTGCCAAAGGGGGGACACAGAAAGTCTGTGCTCCCTGGGCACCTTGTTTTCCAGCTGGCACAGGGGGAATAGTAACTGTGCCCTTCTGCTGGAGTTGCATGGGGTTCAGAGTTCACAAGGCTGCCTGAGCCTCTGGGGCTGTTGCTGAGGGACCTGCTGGTCTTACATCAGTGAATTGCCCTCCTGCCAAGTCCAGAGTGCTTTGAGCTGAAAGTGGGGTTTATGTGTGGAATGGGAGTGCCAGCAGCTCTCAAAGAGCTTTGATTTCACTCTCATTTTGTTAACTTCTAATTTTATTTTCAGTTTTTTGATACCCCTGCCTTGAGGTAGAGCTGGGTAAAATGCTGGGTTGTTGCTCACTCCCTGCTGAGGTTTGTGGAAACTGAGCTTGTTTTCCTCTTCTGTTCTGTCCCCAGAGGCCTTAGTTCTTAATGACCCTGACTTCCAACACGAGGATTTGAACTTCCTGTCCCGTAGCCAGCGCTATGAGCAAGCCATCAGGAAGAGCTCCTTGATGGTGATGAAGCTAAGGGAATATGGAATTGCAGATCCTGAGGAGATCTACTGGTTTAAAAGGTACCCAAAAAGATCCAGAGTTTGCTTCTTGTACTTCAGTCATCAGCAGGGATGCTAGGGTTGTGCTTTTTTCCTGTGTTTGTTGTCTGAAGGAAGCTCAAAACCTGTATAAAAGCCCACTCAAGTCTGGCTTCAGTGAATTTCAGATGAAACCCTGAATTCCTGAATGTGGTGTTTTCTTAGGGTTTTTTTTTTTTTTAAGAGAAATGCAACATTAACAATGATACGCTGTTCTGTATGTGTGGTGCAGAAACTAAAAAACAGAGCTTGAAGTCAGATTTTTTTTCCCAAAAAGAATAAAAAAATCATACAGAATTACTTTGAATCTGAATAGATCTGATGAGTTTGCAGCTTCTAATGAAATCTCTAAAAGCTGATTACTTCACTTTGCACTTAGACTCAATAAAGTCACATTGCAGAGATACTTGAAACTATTCCAAGATGGTTTATAAGTTCTTGTGTGTCACTGTCTGTTCTGGCTCCCTCCTCTAAGCTCCAGAGGTTCTCTTTGACCCAGAGGCTTTTTGTTGTACCTGACCTTTGGTTTATCTGATAGTACCACCTTTGGATCAAGTTAATGTAAACAAGACTGTCTTTACATCTGAGTTTTCATTCCTTCCAGAAGAAATTAGAACTCAGTTCCTGATTTTCATGCATTTCTCCCCCTAATTCTGTTAAACTCTGATTTAATCATACAGAAACTGATAAGAGAGAAGGTACACAGATCTAGAAATCTGCCATAATCCCATGGATATATCCTCTGGCACATTAAATAATGAACCACAAGCCCCCTCTGACTGGTTTTGTAGAAAAGCTGTCACGGGCCCCAGGGCGTGACCCTTGGCACTAGGAAATTGAAGTCATCCTGTGCACTGTGGTTTTACTTTCAGAGAAACTGGTCTGCACTGACCTGTGTCATGAAGGTTCTCATGGAAGTAATGTAAATAATTTGAAAATCAACATTGGTGGACAGCGATAACAGGGAACAAGTTCAGTGACAGCAGTGGATTATTCAGGTGCTGCACAGCCAAAGTTAATTTTTTTTTTTCCTACACAAGGTTTATTGAAAGTGATGGGGAAGTTTCTTAATTTATTTATTTATTTCTACAGAAAAAAATCAGCAAAGTCTATCCAGTCTATCAGATGGAAAATTTTAAACAATTTTCTGTCTTTTTGTGGCATTAATGACAATATTATATGAAAACAGACTTTTCTGAAGTAGTCAAATGAGACATTCTAGTTTTGTCTTTCCATAAACTTACTTTGGAGTCAGCAATTCTTCAGTGAGTGAAAGTTTAATAAATATTTCATGCAGATACCAAATAGTACCTCCATATCTAACATGGCATGAATGGTCAGGTGTGACTAATCAGAATTCACAGTCCAAAACCAACAGAAACAATAAAAAAGGTCCAAGGTGAAATCTAATTGCCACCATTCAGGATTTCAAAATATAATTGCAATTACTGTAGACTGACTATTTGCCATTGTTTATTTATTTTATATACCATATTTATTCTATAGTAACGTGTAACAGAATGAAGAGCAGTGCATAAACTTCTTGCCTACAGGTGAAGTGTGTTTGCTCTAAGAACTGTGCACTGTTGATATTCTGAAATGACTTCTTTACTGTAATCTGTGGTGTTGGCAAGGGAGGATGTAGGCTTGGTGCTGCTTAAAAAATTGATTAAATTAAAGGATTATTTTTTCATCCTTTGATTTCATTTGCATTTTAACATCTGTCCCCACTTTCCCACCTGCTGAGTGGTAAAGATTTTTTAAATTTGGTGAACTGCACCCAACTGACAAAATTATGTTTATTTCTATCCCATATCCAAACGTGCTAATTGATGTTAACTGGAAGTGACTTCATTAGTGCAAAAGCTGACCTGGGAAAAGTGTGTTTGGGCTTATTAATTTTTCCAAACTGAAAACTGAATGGATGTGATGTTGCAACATGCCTCAGATGACGTTTATGAAATAGACTGACATCCTTGATTCAGACACACAGTTGTATTTGTTGTGATTGACATTTCTGCTTATGGAAGCTTAAGAGATTTTGTCACTTATTCCCAAAAGGCAGGGACAGATATACATATGCAATCTTGAAGAATTTTTTCCTGTAGCTTTCCTAAAGTGCATCTAGAACATCTCTAGGTAGCTTTGCACATGACTCACCAACTTTATAGCTTGATTTATGAGTAGGTGAGGAGAAATGCTGCTTCCTTCACTGCCCTGAAGATATACTTAAACAATTGCTGCTGCTGCTGTGACATGTCCAAGTGAATGCTCCTCCTTCCTGTTTCCAAAGGGCTTTGTTGAACTCCAAATCATAAGAGGATCTATTAAATATACTTAATTGCTTTTCGTGTAATAATTCTTCTATGTTCATACTGCAGTTGCAGCTGTTGTGACTACAGCTTTGAAGGCCAGCAGCCTAAAAGTGCTAATATTTCAGATTTCTTTTACAGTCTAACTGCAGCAAAATGTAAGTCAGCATGAAAAATGGGAAATGTTTCTGGTGTAATGCTCCAACGCTCTTGGAAGAGAGCAGGCTGCCCAGTTTTAATTCACCTTCAACTTTAATTAACTTTCATTGAGGAAAACTGGATTAAACAAAGAAGTGAAAAAGAGTTGAGACAAACTGGGTGAAGGAAGAAGAGAAGATCTGAGAGCTGCTGGTCACCAGATGATTCCTGTGTTCATAAGCATTGCATGAGTGTGCACTTTCCCTGTTGGAATTTGTTTTTACATCTCTAAATTAGGACCTGGAGTACCTTTGAGCAAATCAAAGTAGAAAAACTCTACTATGGGCCCTACTTGCCACTGCTAAATTAATGCAGAATGAATGAGTCTGGCTTGATCTTACTTTGATAAAGCTGGAACAGGAGTTTATTGCCATAGGAGTTGTTAGCTCTGAAGCCAGTTAGCACAGCTCAAACACAGCTCCTGCTCCTTCTCCCCTGGGATGACCCTTCGTGCTCATCCTTAAAAGAGTTTCTTCAAGAGCTGCCCAAAGCAGAAAAGTTTGCACACAGACTAATGTAAAGGAAATGCCCCTGTTCTGTGACCCAGTTCTGCAGCCTGAGGACGGCTTTGCAGCTGTTCCTGTAGCTTTGGAGCCTCTGAACACACAGGCTTTTCTTCTGTCATCCTCTGTCTTGGGACAGTGACACACCTGTCACATAAGTGCCTTTTCCTGTGTGGGTGGCACTGGTTGCTGTGAAATCTGGGAAGGTCTGTATTGCCTAAGCACATATTACTACACAGCCTTCTCCCAGAAGTGGATTTGGAGCTGCAGCCTCGTTGTGACACTGGTTGTTGTAGCAAGGCTGACCTCAGAGCAGCTGGGCATTGATCAGATGGTCACTGCCACCATCAGTCTGATGGAGCAAAGCATTTGAGCAGTTACACACTGCAGCCTTTGGAGAACAGCCAATCCAGGTGCTGGGAGTGTTGAAATTGTAGTGGGAAGCAGTAAGAGTTCAGAGAAAGAAAACCTGTTGTTCCTCCCTTCACAGCTGGTACCTTTATGTTTGCCCTGTGTCTAGAGGAAAACAGGATTCTCGTTGTCATTCAAGTTGTTAAAAGGCACATTAAGGAAATCCTAAATCTGCAGTGTGGAGTATGCAGAGATGAACAGTTTCTGCTGTAATTTAATTTTCAGCTTAGTTAATGCTAGAAGCTGTTAAAATTCTGCACGGTTGGCTACAGAAACATCATGACCTGTGTTAAAGCATCCACTTGCAGAATGTCTGTTGTCTTCCTCCTGTCAGAGAAGGTAATAGTAATCATTAGATATCTGGCACTTGTGATTAAACTTCCTCATAGGCAGTGAAAGTTGCTGGTGTGACCTTTCAGAAGATTTTTGGGATGTTTTCCTGGAGCATTACCTTCAAAGAGGCAGTGTCTGGCCTGATTTTTTTCTGACAGCAAAGCATGTGCTGCACATTTTTCTCAAGTTCTTTCAATGACTGCTGAAAATATGCAGAGACCCATTCAAGCTCTTCCCAAGCTGCCCTGAAACTTCATGTTTCAAGGTCAGCACTCACTTTCTCCCTGTAGATTTGTCCTTTTTGGGCCCAGGGAGTAGGTGCACAATAATTGTGCTGCAGGCAGTCAGGAAGAAAAGGGTGCTGCTGTTGCTCTATAGGTCCTGGGTTAAAAGAATGATCTACTTACAAAACCACAAGAGTGTTGAAAAGTTCTGTCTTGATGTCCTTGCAGTATTTTTAAGCCCTTGGTCACCCTGAAAGCATCAGCTTTGGTAACATCCGCTGCTGTAGGCAAGAGAGTAT